ACGGGGTGCAGGAAAAGTTTCTTCCATACTAGATACTCGCCACCTGGCTTGTCAGAGAATCTGCGAACTCCATTGGCATGCAAATTTAGCTTTCCACACTGTACAACTAAATTTCTCCAGTAATCTTCAGCATTTGCTGAGTTGGGGGGAGGTATTGACATAGAGGGTTCTCCCCCTGGATTCTGGTAGGGTGGGTTTGGGTTGTAAGTCAATGACAGGTTGTAGTCTTTCTCCCAGTACTTACGGAGGATGTCGTTCTCCCATACTGGGAACGATGGTTGAGCATCACACTGCTGTGTAGGCTGGGCATGGTTACCTTGTGGTGCCTGGGAGCCGGATTGGTACTGAGATTGTGACAGGAACGCTGCCTGTGGATTGAGTGTGGGAGTGGTCGTTGACGGCATGTTGACTGATCGAGAAGTTGTTGTGAGCACTGGTGGGTTAAGTTGCTTGGCCAGCAGGGCGTGAGACGTTGCAGTAGGGTTGTTGGTGCTGGGAAGAGAATCTTGGATCTTAGTACCTACAACATCAGTTGGGGAAGGTTTGCTGTTGTTAGGAAGTGAATCTTGTACTTTAGGTCGTACAACATCAGATGTGTAACTGATGTGTAAAGTCTATGGTTGAGATTCATCCCAGTGCTTCCCTGGTTGTGGGAGACTGCTAGGCAACTGAGGTGGTTCCATCTGCTTGTTTTGTAGCGAGTGCTGCTCATCCATGTAGGCCTTGACCCCAGTATCTGAGCTCTCTTCTCCCAACTCATCGAGGTCAAAGTTGAGGGAGACAGTGTTAGCCCCCTTCTGCCATGCTGCGGCCCGTGTTTTTTTCACTGCTGTCTCTCTTTGTCATTCGAGTAACTCTACTTGGGCCTGAGCTTTGGCCATTTCTGCTTGTTGTTTGGCCAGTTCAGCCTTCTGCCGTATCACCTCTGTCATAATACGTAAATCTGCCTCTGCTGCTGCAGCTTCAACCTGGGCTTCTACAGCTCGTTTGGCATAACTTGCTGCTTTGGAGGCCTGAGATGCGCCACTACGATGAGAGGATGTTCTGGAAGGATGGTGAGAGCCGGCAGCAGAGAATTGGCGCGAGACACTAGAACCTGCCTGTGATCTAGCCAATTTGGGATGGAGGGAGGAGGCTTTCTTTGAGTGGTGGAAGAAGCTGCTTGTGATTGAAGACCTCTGTCGGATATGGTCTTCTCCCTTGGAATTTGCTCCTTCTATAGTTCAATGAGGAGCACAGCCTGGAGGGAGTTTCTGCCTTCCCGAACACTGTCTTCGCATTCTTTGTTCACCTCCTTGAAGGAATGAATGTGTTCCTGGAACTCTGGGTCTTCCAGCTTCAATTGTATGTATTTAAGCTTATTTTCACTGTCTCTCCACCGTGTGAGGTGCTCCTCTAACTCATTCTGCATCAGGAAGAGGCTCTCAAGGGGCAACTTGCTTTTGGGGGTGTCACAGATCTTGACCAGCTCCGTCCATGCGTCTGCATGACAGCAATACTGCCTTCCCCAATCCTCTCTGAAGCGTGTCACCATGGGTGAGGTAAGCTTCCTATGCTGTCTGAGGTCGTAGGCCTTCTGAGGTATCGTGGCTTCTTCAGAGGTTGTCATCTAAAACCGGTTGTTGGGAACCAGGTTCCACGATTACAACAAGGGTGGGTGGAGGATTCAGGTCTTCTGGTACATCAAAGACAGCTGTCATGGCTGAGGAAGTTGCCATGCTTCAAATTGGCAAAGGGAGAAATTTGGAAATTTTTAGTGGTTTTCTGTGCAATTCCCTTTTTTTGTACTAGGGCGCGCTGCAAGCAGCAGAAAGTAGAATTGCTGCTGGATTTAATACTTGAGCACGTAGGTGGCACTGCGGAGTCTGGGCAGCACACAATATGGCTGCTTCTAGGGTGCGTTGTGAGCTTGCAACACAAGGGGGCATGAGAGGTTGCGTCATGAAGTCTGAAGACTAGAGGGCTGAATGCAGAAATATGTGTCGCGTAGTCTGAAGACTTGAGGGCAGAATGCAGAAATATGCCTGTAAGGGTCACTTGCTTCACAAGGTGGCAGCAGAGGGTCAGGAAGACGCTGTTGCTACGCCCATGTTAGGTTGCAGTTACTCTTGGGACCTTTCAATTAAGTTGATTAAATTATCCACAATAGTTTCAGGGAGATTTTTCTTTGAACCCCAGATGTAGCCCTGGGCTGAAGAGAACACGAGGTGGGGGGGGGACTTCCTTGCCCACTCTTGAAAAAAGGGAAAAAATGGTAAGAATTCTTTAACTTCACTGTAAATTTCTTCTTGACCACCAGATGGGGATGTAGGCTGCTTTACTTGAGTCTGATTTCTCTCTTTAGGGGGTTGAGCCTCGTGGCAGTGAAGTTTGCTGATTGCCAAAGGAATTTATTGCCTACTTCAGCTGGTGCTGTAAGCTAATAGTTGAGTGTCAGCCGATTTCGCTGGAAGGGAAAAATTCATTAGGAAAAATACTTCAGTAAGTTGCATGTACTATGGCCGTGTTGTGCTTTTAATTTTTTAGTAAAGAGAGGAGGAGATGAAGAAACGTTAGACTTTTAAACAAAGGATAGCTTGCTTGAATCAGCCTTGTGACTTGGGGGGAGGAATGTGATCTGTTGCTTTGAAGACGGTCCTTCACTAATGATTCATGACCCCCAATAAACCGGCCAGAGTGGCTGTAAAATAGCTGGAGAGGCCTCCTTTATTGCCTCTTCGAAGCAGCCGAGAGCATAAAAAATACAAAGCCTTTTAGCAATACATGCAATATTTCTCAAATTTTCCATTGTGTTTGGAAAGGGTTTGTGACTAGAGAGAGACATAGATGGGGTATACCTGGCCCCTTCCTTCAATTCCAAACAGGCTGTAAGGTTACTTGGCCAACAATGGGAAGACGATGATTAAGCCAGAGAATAGGATGTTTGAAAGTCTCTTGCTGCATTTGTAGAAGGTTTAAAGAGAGGTTTGGTTTTCCTTTGAGAGCTGGGAAATATCTGACTCTCCTTGTTATGCAAATGGAGTCTTTGAGATAGCAGGAAGACAAATTGAGCAAAGAAGAGGGTGGTGGGTAGGTTACTGGTTCTCTTTGTTTGTAGCATGTGGGGGAATTCCAACCCCTCCCACCATCCAACCAGCATGTAAAAAATTCCAATGCTCAGAGAGAGAGAGAGAGAGAGAGAGAGAGAGAGAGAGAGAGAGAATGATACATGCAGGTTTAGATTAACATTGCATATTCACTCCTGGCTTCAATATTACTTTGCTTTATCACAAATCCAAATTAACAATCTTTATACAGATGAGTTTCAGGACTACATCTTTTACTTTTCTGCCTTCTGCGCAGAGGTGGATTTGAAGCTGTATAGATGCAGATAGATAACTCAACAAGATGTCCATAACAAATTACATTTATTGGTTTATCAGGTATCCTCATAACTCATGTTTGTGATGAAGTTCTTCTTTAACAGCCAATCCTTTGTATATCTGCCTTGTAGTAAAAGATGGTTATCTCCTAACCCATCGTAGCGATAGAAAGAAGCTGCCATGACTTAGAGAGTTCAGGCAAAAGAAGACTCTGTCCATGTAATGCCATCCTAAAAGCCTCCTTCCTTCCAGAGCATCAATAGAAGAATGTACTGGGTTCAAATGAATAATCCACATATTCATTAGGATAATGGGACCTTAGCTTCTTTGTCACACAAAGTTCACAGCCTCTGCAAGGCCTCAAATACGCATGCAATCCTGTTCCACAAGTCTTGCTTAGCACCCCCCAAAAAAGCAAAAAGTGCAATATCCCCTTTCCCAAATTTGTTCTTATTCCTGAAAATCAGAACCCCATGAAATATCACAATTTGATATCAAATATAGAGATATATAAGTATTTATTGATGAGAGTTTACAGAAAGGCTTCATTTGCCCATCTTCTTCCTTCCCCCTTCCAATGTTTATATCATTTTTATTAATAAGAAGAATAGTTCCCTATACATTTGTCCTTGGTTATTGGCTTTGAACTCTATAACAATTATGGATAATTATTTTCTTTACCTTATTTGGCTGAAGAAAGTTAACATTTTAACTCAAGGAGATAAATATTTAACTGATTTTTATTCTTATTACTTGAACAGTCAGAGTTGCATATATGAAGTGATAGGCTACAGAAATTGAACAAAAAAACCACCTGGCAATAGTATATGAATTTGTTGAATGTACCTTCAGTCTTCATGCAGTGTATGACCAATTTTCATAAATTTTGGGTGAGTTTTAATTGTGTATTTGAACAATTTGCTCATTGATTTTGAGTATCTTGCTGTTGATATTGGAGCATTCAGGTAATTTTTCAGTGGCTTTGTGATTACAGTCTTTACTATAAGTTAAAGTCTTTGACATACCTGTGCTGGATTATTTGCATTACTATTTGCAAAACAAATCCAGATGGACCTGGTTAGAATAGAGCTCATTATACTTTGGAAGCACATGTCTCTTAGTTGTCAAGATTTAAAAAAAACAGCAAAAGGTCCATTGATTAGAGTAAATGGCAGGAAAAAATTAGAAATTAAACCGGGGCAGTATGTAGTCTTTGTGTGTGCATGATTTGTAACATAATTGCTGTTTTTGTAGCATGTAAATTATATGTATATTGCTTCTTGTTTACAATAAAACAACTTTTATGTCATATCTGTAAGGCTTTTCTTATACCAGATTTCGTAATATAGGGTTACGTTTCTGGAATATCAAGTTTTATCCCTGCTTATTGTGATGACCCAAACAAGAATATTCTGAAGTTGATAAGAATTCTGTTTGTTTATGCTTCATGTTACACATTTTACTATCATAGAACTACCACATTGCATTGTGTTACTAAAATTAAACTAACATTTATTGATAAATGTAATATTTACTTAGTTATTTTGTCATTAGTGGTATATTTGAATCCATTATTTTACTGTGTACGTAACATAGATAAAATTTAAAATGAAATATATTCATCTTGGTTCTTTACAGATGGTTCTTCACATAGACAGGAAGAAGTCGAAGAGGAACTTAGTGAGGAAGAGCATTGGTTTGGGAACTCTTCAGAAACCCCATCAGAAGCATCTTATGGAGAAGTCCAGGAGAACTTCAAATTATCCTTTGAGGACAGGATCCAAGAGCAATCCACATCTCCAGATACTTCTTTGGGGAGCGGGACTCCTAGTAGCAACACACTGGAATTGGTGGCTGTTGAGAATGAGACCATAGTATTACAGAACAGGGAACATCTCTCTTCTAGTGTATCTTCTATCTGTGATGATAATAATCCTGGGCCAAACAAGCCATTGAGTAGTAATTTGAGACGTCTGCTGGAGGCTGGTTCTCTCAAGCTAGACACTACTATCACAGTTAATGGCCGGGTTGAATCCCCAGTAAATCTTGGCTCAAATATCTCTTTTTCTCCAGCTACACATCATGCTCAGCAGCTAAGTGTTCTTGCAAGAAAGCTAGCTGAAAAACAGGAACAAAACGATCAGTATGGCCCAAACACAGGATTCATATGGAATCAAGGCAAGTGGTTGCCTAACTCAATGCCCTCTTGCAGCTTGTCTCCAGATTCAGCAATCTTAAAATTGAAAGCCGCTGCCAATGCAGTCCTTCAGGACAAGTCTCTTTCTCGAACTGAAGATCCAACAATAAGATTTGAAACCTTCCCTTCACCATTTAGTTCTCAATCAGCAAGCTCCACCTTAGCTGCATTATCAAAGAAGGTCAGTGAAAGAAGCATGATTCCTGGGCAGGACCACTCACCACCAGCAAATTCTTTCCTTTCTCTCACCTCAATGACTTCTTCAGCAGCCCTACTCAAGGAGGTGGCTGCAAGAGCTGCAGGCAGCCTTTTGGCTGAAAAGAAAAAGTCACTGGTTGTAGAAGATCCCCTGCAGCTTTCAGACATGAAACAAGAGAAAGTAATTCCACAACAGTCTTTGGAACTATTGTTACTTCCAGCCCCTAAAGGAAGAGCTTCTAAAACCACAAATTCAGGTAGGAGTTCTCATTTTGCTCTAAATTCTCTATAGTTATTCATCTCTGTGTTATTTGCATTATGCAGAAAAGATAACTAAACAAAACAGTATTCACAACAAACACTCCAGCCATCTTGATGCCTGAAAGGGAATTATTGTTGCAAATATTTTTTTCAGGTATTATGGACAAAAAAACCAGCCCCTATCTGGAAAATCCTGTATGAAATTTAATAGGGCAAATCAAATAACGTTTTATGTTTTACAGTACAGAGTATTATATGTTAATAATATTTTCATCACAAAGAGAGAATTTATCAGATTGTTTTGTCCTAACATGTTATTTTGTTTTACTTTTTTCATATTTACATGGTATTCTACAATGTATTGTGCCCAAAAGCATGCTTGCAACTCATGAAGCTTACAAAACATACTAGGTCACGCCCATCATTGCCTGCCACACTGGATTTTTGACCATTTGAATCTTCCAAGTGAGCTTCAAGTACTTGTGTGTAGTAGAGCATATTGCCACGAGGTAACTAGAGCAGTATCAACGGTCTAAGCCTTTCAATCCATAAAGGGCACAACTGCTACAAAAATGATGTTGTATGAAGGGTTCTTTTTTATAAATTTTATTGAAAGGTTTTGATATAAATAGAAGTTAAGCAAGAACAAGGGTATAAAAGAAAAGGAAAAACAGGTAAAGATCAAATAAAAAAATACTAAAAACAGAGAGATAAAAAATGAAAGTTAAAGAAACAGCTTCTGATCTTCTTTACAGCAGTTATAAATAAACATTCTATCATTTCCCCCTTCTTTAAAACTACATTATATACTTCCCTTTTCCACCCATTCAGTGCATTTTAAATCCAAAAATCATCAGCTCATTTTCTTTCCATTTTCAGCAAAAATGTCCACAAAAAGATTTCTAGTCTTCTATAAAATACCTATTTTGTTCCTAATCTTAACAGGTCAACAGGCTTTCTGCAAGTTCTGCATATTCACAGTCTACTTTTCCATTGTGGGAACTTCTATATGGTTCCATCTTTGTACATAAAGGAGAATATATGTAAAACCGGTGGTACACAATCTTTCTAATTGTCTGCCCATAAATATTAATTTAAAAAATATGGTTTCATATGAATGTTAATTTTTATAAATTTATTGCATCATTGTATGCATTTATTTCCAGTACTTTTTTTTGCTTTTTCACATGTTCACCAAGCATGATGAAATGTAAATGTCTTTTTCATATTTCCAAAGTAATTAGTCCCTTTATACCTCTGGGACAATTTCCCTGGTGAGCTGTACCAATTTCTACGGTGACCTGTATCTCTGGTTCATCATTTTATAAAGATTCTCTTTTAAATTGTAGGACAGTGTGAGTTTTGAACTTTCTAACCACTTCCTCTCCTGTTAAAACCAAGTTCATATACCCTTGAACTTATTTTTTCTGTTTCAAATAAAAGTTTATACTTGTTAGCAGTCATGTGCTCAACATTTATACATAATTCATTTTCAAATTCAATTTTATGATGATATATATCTGGCATTTTTAAATGTATATTAATCTTTCTCTCAATTGTACGAATGAAAACCATTGACAACTAAATCCCTCTGCAATCAATTATTCTCTCAATTTCTGTGTTTCCTGTACTAACAAATCTTGATATATTAACTATTTTTCTTTTCCCATTGTGTCTGTACAATAAAATAGTTCTTGTGCTAATGCAAATAGAAGAATTTTTGGACAAAGTCTGGGTCTGTATTTTGTATTTATTCCATTTTCTTAAAGCCGTTCTCCTAATAATGATTTTTGAAATCTACATTAACTTTGACTTTATTATACCGTTAAAAAAACATGCCACTCAAACTTCATGTTGTGCTCTTCTAATTCCAGTATTCTCTTTTTTTCTCAACAATAGCTATTCTTTTATCCAAACTAAGCAGAATACAAATCTAGATATACTGTATCTTTTTGCCATTGTGAAAAAGCTGCATCATTAGTCAAAACAGGTATTATTTGAAAAAAAAAAAACCATTCTAGGCAGTACATTCATTTTTACCACAAACTCCTCAACTATGATAATTGTACTTCCTCCTTTTCCCTTGTAAGGCTGTGACAGGTCAGGATGGGTGATACTCTTCATTAGCTGCTTAGGACTAAGTCTGTGCAAAAGGCTTATTAACCTAGCTCCGCCCACTCTGGGTGACTCCTCCCCACTTTTCTACTCAGTCCTTAGCAGAATAGGACGTGTGGTATTGCCTCTCCTGCCTTTGGAGTTTTTAGTTCCAAAGGCAGCCTTATGAGGAAATTCTTCTTTTAAAAGGAAAAAAAGCCTCCGTTTGCCTTTCCCCGTTGAATTTGGCACTTCGATTCACAGCTGATGTTTGGGAGCTACCAAACAGCTGAGGACTGCTCCAGGGATCCAGAGCAGCCTGCAAGGGCCGCAGGGGCCCATTTCAGGCCTTCGGGGCAAAGAGCAGGAGATCAACCGGATGGACGGCATTCGTCGAGGACGGGGGCTTCGGCCCTCTCTATGGAGCTGAGGGGCTGTTTTCAGCTCTCCACAGCATTTCTCGACCAGACGGCCATTTAGGAGAGCCTGGGTGTCGGCCACGCTCTTTACAGAGCCACGAGGCTCATTTCCCCACCCCCCACAGTGAAGCAGGCAGCCGCTTTGTCCTGCAGCTGCCTTTTTGCACAATCTCTGCCTTCTGCAGGGCAACAAGGGTCCAGGGAGAGTTCTCAACCTGATTCACATGTTCCTATCAACTTGCAAATTCTGATAGACAAGGCTATCAGGAAGGGCATCTCAGAAGGTTTACAGAGAGTGACCCGTCATTCTTCTGCTGCTTCTGATTTATCAGAGAGACAGTCCCGGGTTCGAGAAGCTCTCTTATCAGAACAAGGTTCCTTTGTCCAGGATTCAGTTTCTGGGTTGGCTGAAGACTTCGTTCCTGTTACCTCAATGGCTCCATCATTGGTGGGAGAACCTGATAGGCCAGAATCTGATATGTCACTGGATGAAGGCACTTCACATGAGATTCCGCTGTTTATGGGTTGTTTTAAACATACCTTGTTTAGTCCCTTGTTGTTCAAGGCTAGGAACACTGCAAATCTGAAAGGTCCAGATGATGAGGTAGCGGCCTCACTTCCTCCTGAGGAATCAGATGTTATGTTCGACGAGCCGGAAGTGAGGAAAGAAGTCGTTCCATCTCCAAAACTGTTCCTGAAGGTGATCAGGAAGCAGCTTGAAGTTCCGGTCACAAGGTCCAATCCTCTGGCCTCTGACTGCAGGTTCTTTAACATGGGGCCTGAACTGACCAAGATGCTCCAGGTTCCCAGGGCCGATGCTCGTGTAGCAGCTTTGGCTTCCTCCTTTGCTCCATTGGATCTGGAGGAAGTCCTCAAGGCAGAGGAAAAACGAGTGGAACAGTCGCTTCAGAGATCTCATCTAGCTGCTGCCTGGGCAATCAAGGCTTCTACATTGGCATCGTTCTTTACTAGGATGTCACTCAAGTGGCAGAAGCAGCTGCAGGATAGAATCCCCTCATCAAATGTCCGCGCCCACCAGGATATCAATAAGATCATGGCGGCTACAGAATTCATAGCTGATGCCACCCTGCATGGCACCAGATTTGCCACAAAAGCCATTGCTTCCTTGGTGGTGGCCGTGTGCTGGCTGCGTAACAGGCAAGCTGATGGCAGACGTAAATGGAAGTTGGCATCTGTTCCGGTACAAGGGGATAAGCTATTTGGTGAGGTCCTCGAGCCCCTTTTGGTTGAAACCAAGGATAAGCGGATGATTCTTCCTTCGCTTCTCAAGAAGGTAGAACATCAGGCCGCTTCTTATTTCAAACGTTCTCAGTGGGGAGTCAAGTTCCAGTTTCCACCGGCTCTCCAAGCCCACTTATCAATGCCAGGAACCTCCTCCTGATCACTCAGGCAAGGGCAGGCAACAGTTTTCTACAAAGTGGCCCTTTTGAGGAGGAGGAGGTCGCCCATACCATCGCCAGCGCTAGTGCACAGTCCATTCCCATTGGTGGCCATTTAGCATGGTTCGCGGAACAATGGGAGGGTATTATTTCTGACATCTGTGTTTTGTCCTCTGTTAGATGGGGTCTTTCACTGGAATTCTACTCTACTCCTCTGGGGTTCTTCATCTCCTGTCCAGTATCTAGAGATGCTGGGAGGTGGAGTCTGATGAAATCAGCCATCCAGCATTTGCTGGACTTCAAGGTCATTCAGCAGGTTCCCCTCGACCAACAGGGGGTGGGATTCTACTCTAGAATTTTCATTATTCCCAAGGCCTTGGGGTGGTGGAGGACAATTCTTGACCTGAAACGACTCAATAAATATGTTGTGTACAGGCGTTTTAAGATACACACTCTTTCTTCCATCCTGGAGAGCATTCTGCAGATGGACTTCCTCACATCAATAGACTTGACAGAAGCCTTTTTGCATGTTCCCATTTGTTATTCTAATAGGAGGTTTCTAAGGTTTTGTTACCAGGAGCGCCATTCCCAATACAGAGCTTTCCCCTTTGGGTTGTCTTCTGCCCCCAGAGTTTTTACCAAAGTTCTGGCTCCCTTAGAAGTGCACCTTCATACCTTCCCAGTGCGTTTACAGTGTCATTTAGATGACGTATTAATCATGTCGTCTTCCTTTCAGAGAGCTCAGCAGGATCTGCAACTCACAATTTCAGTTTTGCAGAGCCTGGAGTTTTTCATTAATAGGAAAAAGACCCATTTCTCTCCTACTAATCGTCTCCTTCATTTGGGGGGGGGGGCATCATTGACACTAGAGTGTGTCAAGACAACCCTGCTTTGGTATGTCCCATCCTGACCTGTCACAGCCTTACAAGGGAAAATGGGCATTGATTACCTGAACGCCACTTTTCCTTGTTGGGCAAGACAGGTCAGCCCCACCCTAAGGGTAAGTTCCTTTCGAGGGACCCATCGGGGGGGAGGGTCCTGATAATGTTCTTGTTTTTGTTCCCCTTTTCTTAGAGGCAATCT